CCCGCCCCGCCCCGCCCCGCTCCGGTTGGCCGGCCGGCCCGCCTGTCAAAGGCCGCGGCCGGGCGGGGCTTCCGGGAAACGGCGCGGAGGGCGGTGCCGGCCCTGGAGGCCCTCGTGGGCCGCGGCCTAGGGGGGCTGGGCTCGGGCGGGCGGGAGGACGCTGGGGTCGCGGGTCCGGGGACGACGGCTTCCCCCGAAAGGGTCGGGAGTCTCCCGAGAAGACAGCAGCCCCGCAGGGGAGCGGGTCCCTGGTCGGGTGTAGACTGGGGCGGGGTCGCTGCGGTCCGGCTCGAGCCCCCTGCCCTGGCGGGGAGGACTTCCTTGCCCCCCGACGCGCAGCCCGCCGAGGGGGCCCCGGAGCGGAAGGGTCAGTCCGCGGGACGAGCCTCAGGGACGATGGGACCCACAGGGTCAGCACCGCGGACGACCCCCGGGCTGGGGGCCGGAGGAAGGCGGAGAGGGCGGCGGGGACGGGGGTCAGGTGCCTGGAGCAGGCCCGGGCCGCGCCGGGAGCCTCTGGGTCCCCCAGCGGCCGCGGGCTCGGCTGCCCGACACCCGTCTTCCCCGCAGGTGGCTCCGGAGCGGGCGCCAGCAGCCCTCCCAGGACACCCGGCACCTCCGGCGGAGTCCTGGGCGCGGCACAGCCGGTGCGCCCAGGGCCAGGCGGTGCAGGGGCGTCTCGGCTGGGCGGGGACCCATCTGAGCCCGCGGAACAGCGAGACCCGCTGTCTTTTCAGCTGCTTCTCAGCAGCGCGCAGCCCCTCCCAGGGCTCCGCGCAGCCCCTCCCCCGCAGCCCCTCACCACCAGCCTCGCCCAACTTGGGCAGGCCCCGCAGACCGGCCCACCTAGCTCCCCCAGCCCAGAGGCTCCAACGGTGCAGGTAACAAACGGCACCCGGCAAATCCAACCCAAAAGTTGCCCAAGTGGGTGACACCCCAAGCACAAACATGCATGTCCTGTCTCCTCTCAAGAAAGACATGTTTTTAACATTTTTTAAAATTTCAGTGCAATGTATAAACACACCTCTCATTTTTACAGAAAGCATGATGCGTTCATCACACGTGAGACCCAACCTCGCTTTGCTCAGACGGCACCCCCTCCCTGCCCCTATCCCCTCCCGTGCCCGCTCCGTGCTGTTCCCTGGGAGCTCACCCCACTGCAGGCCGTGACCTTGGAGGGCCCCTTCGGGGACCACCCCCGCCCCCATCACAGCACCGACCCCACCGGCCGTGACTGTATCCGGCTGGCGGTCCCGCGCACTGCACCGCTGCTACAACAGAGCCGGGCCTGCGCCTGACGCGCACAGACGCGAAGTAAAGGTGCGCAAATGGAAGCGGGTGGTGGCGTCCCTCTCGAGCGTGGACCCTCCAAACTCCCCTCCTGGTGTCCATGTCTGCATTTGCCTCGTCCTCAGGGGCTCCTTTTGTTTTGGCTTCCGTCACGCTCCGAGGCGGAGGTAAATCCCGCAGGGCCAGGGCCAGGGCCTCACGGGCGACCCTCCCAGCTGGGAGAGGTGGGTGCTGGTCTGCTCCAGAGACCCGCTTTGCAGGGGCTGACACCTGGCCTGTCTGCGCCCCACCCCGCCGTCCCCGCTTGATGGCGTCTCACCTCTGCCCCGGCTTCCCTCCCAGCCCAGGGGGCGCCCGCGGCCTACGGGGCCCGACGCTCCCGATCCCGATCCGGGTTGGCTGCTGCCCCGCCCCCTTCGCCCTGCCTGAGCAACTGTTGCTAAAGGGGCGTGGCTCGACCTGGGAGTCGGGGAGCGTCCCGCGGCCTCATGAATATTTGAGTATTCAAATGACGCTCCGGCCCCGTTGCCATGGCGCCCAGGGCCCGCAACCCCGCCCCCGGAAGAACGACCGACCCGGAGTCGCAGCGAGCCCCCGGCGGCGGAGGACGCCCAGGGCGGTGGCACACAGACCAACCCCTCAGGTGAGAGCCAAACACGCCTTTGGGCCCCGGGGCCGCAGGCCTCGCTGTCTCCCCCGTGCCTCGGGGCAGACAGGCCGAAGAGCAGGCCCCAGGATGAAGCGGCAAAGCCAGTGGGGAACTCAGTGGTACCCCAGGTGTCAAATCTGGTCTTCCAGGGGCCCTGCGCAAAACCAGTAGCCGGGCTCCCACTCACCGGGATAGGAGGGGCCCCAAGCCCCGCCTCTGGGGAAGATGGGGAGGCAGGGACCCAGACTCTGCTCTGGGAGTTTCCGTGGTGGAGACCCACAGGGGACCAGGCCCTGCCCTCAGAGCTCCTCCCGCTGTGGTGAAGGCCTGGAGGGCGGAGGGGACCCAGAGAGCTGATGAGCCAGACCAGGGACTGGCATTAGCCTGGGCTGTGGGGACAGACAGCCCCGTGGGTTTCCAACCTGGGAGGCTTGTAGGGCTCGCAGAGTGGCAGGGCAGGGGCTGGGAGTAGAGAGCCATGAACAGCACAGACAGGTTCCAGCCAGTGCACGAATGTGAGGGGACAGTGTTTACAGGCCCTGCTCCTTGGACCCTGAGACCTTTGGGCTGGACCAGACCGATGCTCTGGGCCCCGTCAGGGGTAGGACCTCTGCTCACCTGCTGTCAGGCACAGAAGGAAGGAGCAGCAGGCTTGGCCCTTAAGGCTGCCAAGGGCATCCTGGGGCTGCAGCCTGACCAGCCCACGCACTCCGTCTCCACAAGGCTGGCAGGCCTGGGAGTGGGGTGGCCGGCACGTTGTCAGGAGGCACAGTGGTGGGGTCCTCCTGCCAGGCTTAGGGCTTTTCACCAGCTAGAGAAAGGCAGGCAGCAGAGGGAACTTTTGGAAAGAAATCCGGGCTGGAAACCCCATGGCCTTAGCCTCCCTGGATCCTGGGTGTTTGTGTCACTTTCCAGGTGAGGTCACTGAGGCGCACAGAGCCAGGGCTCGGCAACCCTCCCAAGGCCTCTGTCAGAGCCCAGCTGGCCACCCTCCCTGCCCTAAGCATGGCGGAGAGGATGCGTCTTGAACGTCCACAGAGGCTGATGGATAAGAACAGTGGCTGGTGACTAGCGCAGAGCCCTGTACGTTGTGGATGCAGCGGGCAAGCATCCTGCCCGCACAGAGCCCGCGTTGTCTTGGGGTAAGGTGCTCACTCACCAGGATGCGTTGTAAAACGCAGAGGACCATAGAACGAGTCAGACTTATAAGCAGAGTAAATCCAGGAAGGAGAGGAGGGAATACAGGGGCAGGGGTCAGCGAGGCCTCAACCCAGTTGGAGGGAGGTGGCCAGAACATCCCGGGCAGACTTCTGGCTCTACCCCAGAGACGATTCCCAGGTCCGGGGCTTGGCAGGTATCTGCATCTTTAAGGACCAGTGCCAGGCGAACCTCGTGCAGGTGGGTGGCTCAGGGACACACTGAACAACGCCTGTGGGGCCTGGGGCTGGGGGTCCTCAGGAGGGACAGCATGCCAGGGAGCCCAGCCCGTGAGGGACAGTCCACTGTGGCAGACCCGGAACCCCTTTTGGAAAGAGGATGCAGCCAGCCACCACCTGACTTCTTCTTCAGCCGGTCCAGGTCCCTCATCGGGATGACTGAAAGCACCTGAGGGCCAGTCCCCACACTGGCAGCCCCACGCATCTCGGCACCTGCTCACTTTTGAGCCCTGTGACCTCAGTCCTGCCTGTCTCAGATCCCCTGGGCACAGTGACCTGGCCAGGAGGCCAACCCACCTCTCTCCTGCAGGTGCCACTTGGGGACACCTTGCCTGAATGTTTGACCCGTGGTGGAAAAAGGCAGCTGCCTCAGGTGAGGGGGCTCAGCGGGCACGGGGGTCGGGGAACGCCTGAGAGCCTAGTCCTGGGCCCCCACGCTTGGAGACCATCGGGGGAGACGCACAGCACAGGGCTTGAGGCAACGGCTTGCTGCTGGTCACAGCTGACAGAGCAACCATGACCTGGGGCCAATGGCACCCCCCCCCCCGGGTCCCACATCTCACAGCCTACGTAGGACCTCAGATGGGGGAGTCTAGAGCCAGTACCCCTCTTGTGGGCCCTGGAGGATGACCTTCCTAGACCCAAGTGGGGTGTGAGCTAAGGCTGAGCAGGGGACTGGGGGGGGGGGGTGCGCAACAAGGCCCCCGGGCAGGGGGAAACTAAATGAGTGACAGCCCCCCAGAGCCGGACAGGGGGAGCCCCACGGGGGCTGGCTGTGCAGGGGTTTAAGCCAGGCTGCAGATCTGAGGGAGAGCAAAGGCTTGGCATCGTTGCCTTCTGCCCATCCCCAGCAGGTTGGATGTGAATGGACCAGGCCTGGGACAAAGCCCACCGGCCTTGGCCGAGCACAGCCGATATCCTGGTGCGGGAGCTGAGCTGGCAAGGCCCGCACAACCCCTGCCCGAAGAGCAAGGACCCGGGCAGCCATGGCGAGCAGTTGGTAGAGGAGTACCTGTCACCTGCCCGACTGGTGAGTGCCAAGGGCTTGGGGGCTCAGGCCGCAGGGCTCCGCGTGGGGCAGCGTCCCAGGGCTGGTGTCCAGCCCGCCCTCGGTCCCCAGCCCTCTAGGCTTGCCTGGCTGACAGACGTCCTCAGCCCTGCTATGGGACACAGGTGCTTGGTGACACAGATGTGCCCCCGCCATTCAGGACCCCAAAGGGAATGAGCCGGGCAGGAATCCCACAGGTATTTGCCTGGTACCCGCTGTGTGCTGGGCTCCAGGGACCCCTCTGTGAACCGCTCCATGAACCTGAGGAGCCCCTCGTTCAAGCGGCTGTCATCCCGGCAAGAGACAGGGTGGGGAGCCGTCAAAGTGGCCGGCACACAGCAGGTGCGAACCACCGGGGATAGGTAGATAAAACACAAGCTCGGTAGGGGAGCCCTGGCGTCCGGGCCCAGCTGGTTAAGTGGGGGCCACTCCGGGGTCCCACCGACTGCGTCTGGGGCAGCTGCTGAAGGCTTTCTCCCACATCTGGGGCTGTCAGCCCCGCCCCTGTCCTGAGGCCCTCCAGGACGCGGAGAGCCCTCACGGCTCCCGATTCCTGCCCAGCGACCCTTCTGGGCAGCTCTGCACGTCACCCGCTGCTGGCCATGCCGAGGGGGCAGACCCCGCCAGCTGCAGGCACCGCCACACCCACGCTTGCACGGGGTAAGAGGGTGAGAGGCTCATGGAGAGGGGTCCCTTGGAGACCCTGCCGTGACATACTCACCGACGTGCAGCAGAAGGAAACCTGGCTGCCTCAGGCCCCCACCTGCCTCCCCGGCCAACTCAGAGATCGGCGCGGGTGGGACTCGCCTGCCAGGCCCCTGTTCCCGCGCTCCGCACGGGCTCCTCTGTGCGTGCAGCCCTCCAGCCACCCTGCGAGCCCAAGACTTCCCAGTGCCTTGGTCCAGCACGGAACACATCGGGACGGCCCCCCACCAGCTCCTCAACAGCCCCCCCTGACAGGGCCCCAGGGGACAGAGACGGATTCACAGCTGCACGCCACCTCCGTGCTGGCCAGCTCTGGGGTCCTGTGTCCCTTGGTGCCAGTGAGGTCTGGGTTCAGACACAGCGGGCGGACGTGTTGGAGGGGGCCAGTGTGCACAGAGCTCAGGGTGGTGCTCCTGTCTCAGGCACGCCTAGGGCCACAGGGAGCCCGGGCTGCCCTGACACGACGGCCTGGCTCTCAGAGGGGACTCGGGCACCGGTCGACCTGGGCACAGGGCTGGAGCGTCCTCTGCTGGACAGAGCAGCCGGCTGGGAGCAGAGCAGGGGCAGGGAGGGCCAGGGAGGGCAGTGACCCTCACCTGCCCCACGAGGACCTAGCCTCAGCACCTACCGAGCACCACACACCAGGAGTTAGGCCAGGCCGACTGAGCGAGCCCGCCGTGAGCACCCTCAGGGCCTGGAAGTGAGCTCATGCCAGAGGCCGAGGAGACAGGACACAGGCTCTGGGCCAGGTGGCTGCAGTCCGGGTGCAGGAACCACCCCCCCCCCGCCCCCCGCCCCCGCCCCAGCATCCGCGGAGCCACAGACACTCCCGGTGCTCAACGGAGTGTCTGTGTTTCATTTCCCTCCGTTTTGTGTTCCTTCTCGGCTGACAGTGCCCAACAGGGAGGATGTTTGCAGGAGGAGGTATGGCCGCCGTGCCTTCCTCGGATGGCCGGCGGGACACTCCCCAGAGGGCCCCGTCACACAGAAGGCTTTGTACAGCCTGGGATCCCCGCAACCTCAGGCCCGGGCGGGGTGCGAACGTGCCACGAAGCTGTCTCCTCAGACCCACGTGGACGCCCACCTCAGACTGCTCCCGGGTGAATCTCGCTGACGCTCAGGCGCCCACCAGCAGTCCCCAACCCCTTGGCAGGGGGATCGCTGTATCCCGTGTGTCGTCTGTGGCCACAACGCTGACCATGAGCCTCCCAGACTCTGGCTCCAAAGACAGGTGTCCGTCCTGAGGCTGCCCTGCTCCCAGCCACACCGCGGGCTCCCACTGGGATCCAGGCTCGAGGGGCCACACGGGACCACCCTGCTCAGGGCCGACGCCGGGGTGAGCAGCGGGCGAACCCCAGGTGCAAACTCGTGGGCTCCCTCCGCCAAGCCCAGCGTGGACGAGGCCACCTGCTCTGGGGTCTGTGTTGTCGCCCGCCAGGGAATGGGCGCACCGTTCTAATTCAGGGGAGGAGCGACCGGCGTGAGCGGCGACCTACCCACCCCCACATCCAGACCCTGCACACTCCCCAAGTCCCCACGCGCCCCGTCTCAGGCAAGTCCAGTGTCCGGGGAGGAAACTATACCGCACGCATCCGAAGAAGGGCCTGTCCGTGAGACCCAGGCGGGCGTGAGGACCAGCGTGGCCCCCCAGCCAGCCTGCAGAGGGGGACACAACAGGCTACCTTGCCAGCCTCTCCCAGTTGAGAGGGGGGGGCCCTGGTCTGGTGGCACTGACCCCCACCCAACAAATGTCTGGGTGCCCTGTGCTGGGAACACGCATTGATTGGAGATCGTTCTGTCCCTGGTGTGGCTTCTGTCCATCCTGGGGCCCCCTTCTCCGCCTGGCTCCCGGCTGGGGAAAGGGCCGCTGTTGCGGACGACCTCCGTGACCCCCAGTCCGGGCCGTGGCGGCCTGGTCATCAGAGGCCCACAGCCCGTGTGCTTCGCCGTACGAATGAGTCCGGCCGACGCCAGGACCGAAAGCCACACTTGCGATTGTGTCCGGACACGGTCCTCTCTGCGGACTCTGTCACTGCGAGCCGGGGCCTCTCCTGAGAGCCCGGGGCCTCTGCGGGTGCGGTGGGTGCCAGGCAAGCTGGCTTCGTCCCTGAGACTGGCTCACTGGGTCGTCCTACCTGCAAGCCCTTCTCAGCTTTCTCTCTTGCGGGTTGGAATCGAGAGGGCATTTTATTTTTCAGACCCACGGGCTCCAAACCTCCGGGGCTCTGTCCCCTCCCTCTGGACAGCCCCCTGTCAAGGGCACTAAGGGGGCTCAGCTCACTCCGCCCGCAGCGTGCTGGGACCTCTCCACTCAACGCGACAAGCTCCTCGTGCACGCTTTCTGCCATCCAGGCTACCGCAGGAGACTGTCTCGCATGGCACAGGCGTCCGCCTTTTCAGACCCCCAACCCGGTCCCAAATCAGTCACGTTGTTTAGTCGTGTTGTCGTGCGGACCATGGGAACCGTGCCTAGCTCCCGCGTTCTGTATGAATCCGCTATGGCTGCCACGCTCCGTGACAAACAACACCCAGCCGCCGTGGGTGGGTCCAGGCACGCTCGTCCGCGGGTCCGGGGGGCTGTGGTTCAGCCACGCTCAGCAGACTGGGCGCCGAGCTCCGACACACTGGGTCTGTTGCCCGGGTCTCATTTGGACACTGGCACCCTCAGGGCAGGCCCTTGTCTGCAAAGAGCCCCACCAGCCAAAGCCATCCCTGGCCAAGGTCAACACAGATGAGGCACGGGCATTTCTGCCCCCTGTTCCAGCCCCACAGCCGAAGGCGGAGACTGGGGAGGAGTGACCGCGGTCCAGGCCCCAGGGCTGACTCTTCATTGATTTTTGCAGCGCGCCCTGGCCCAGGTAGATGACCTTCGACTGGTGGGCATGCTGGAGATGTGCGTCAGCACCCGTGAGAGCAGCCTGGGGAACTTCGGTGAGAGCCCCTCCCTGTCCACACCCCACTGCTGGCAAGGTCAGACCTCATGAGGGTCCGTTCGCTGGAGGGCTCCCTGCCAGGCTTCGGTCTTTGGACCACTGCACCCCACGGGCCTGCCCTGCATCCCTCCTTCAGGGATCGGGGACTGTCTTGCAGGGTCAATGCCCCGTTCTTGGAAGGAGTCTAGCTCAGAACCCTTTCCCTGGGGGTTTTAGGGTGCACAAGGACACGGGCTCGGGGGTTCCTGTGCTCTGGAACAGAGCCGCCAGTTGATGCAGGTTATAGTGTGGGGTGCCTGTGGCTGGATCTGGGATGCGGCTCAGGGATAGGACCCAAGCTGTGGCGGCCCCGCCACACCAATGGGGCGCCCCTCCTCCGAGTGGACTCCTGGAGTCCTGGGGCCTCTTGGCCTTCCGGACGGGCCCGTCTGCTCACGTGTCCCTGAAGCACACAGCCGCGAGGTTGCCTCCAGGACTCAGAGCAGCCATCGATCAGGGGCCAAGGGGCACGGATGTCTCCGGAGGGTGCAGAGAGGTGAGTGAGGGGTAAGGCTTAGTCTCTGACCTCTCCCTCCTCTGGCCCCCAGGGGTGCACCTGCCCAACCTCAGCCAGCTGAAGCTGAACGGTAGCTGCCTGGGCTCCGTGAGGTGAGTACCTGCCCTGGGATCACGGCGGAGGGGGGTCCCCACCGAGAGCCTCCCGGCGTCCTGCTGCCTCTGTGTCCGGGCCCTAATGCCCGCCCTCCAGCCTCACTCTGGGACATGTGGCACGTGTCACCCACCCCCAGTTTGTTGGAGGCACCCGCTGAGAGTGACACACACCACTCAGAGCCTGTAGTCAGCTTCAGGCTGGTCACACCAGGTCTCCAAGGACCCACCACGGGGTGCCCGGAAGATGCTCCCCATCTTTGGCAAAGAGTCCCCAACAAGCAAGGGGTCTCCGGTGGGTGCCCCGATACCACCCAAGCCTTCAGAGTTTCAGGCGTCCCTGCGGCGGGGCACGTAAAACGTAATGGCACGTGAGTCATCAACTTAAGAGACAAAATTCAAAAAATTAAAGACAGATTAACGTCCTTTGTTTACGTCATTGGCCGGAAAGAGCAAAGCTGAAGCAACATCAGACTGTTTTTGGTGTCGGAGCAAAATGGGTTTTACGTAGCCAGGGCCGGCCAGCGTGAGGCAGGGGGTCCGGTCAGAATTCTGGAAAATGATCCAGACGTTTTAAATGGGCTCTCAGCACCCAGTCATGTCTAGGGGAGTCCAGAAAGGTATTTATGAAGCAACCTCCTTCGAACGCTTTCTTGATTTTCCTTATTTATACTGTTATTTATCAAATAAAGGTCAGGTTCAGCCCCAAGGGCCAGAGCAGAGAACGGGCCTCAGAGGGCACAGAGGGCACCGTGTCTGCAGTGAGGGTCTAGAAAGTGGGGTTTCAGGAACGTGCCTTGAACGTGCGGCTAAGCAGTGTTCTGACAGAGAAATCAACAAAGACAAAAAATCCTGTTTACTCCTTCCTTGTTGAGTCTTCAGATCAGCTCAGCGAATAATGAAGTGTATAAAACTCATAAACGAAAGGATGACAACTACAGAGAAGTGGAACGTATTATAAAATTAAGAAATATGATACATCGTTTGTAGCAAAACAAAATAATTCAATTCCAAGAAGACAAAAAAACCCCAATTCCAAGAAAAATGATTAGATCATAAATTGCAAGAAAACACGTTCTGTCCCTTGATAACAACAGTGACAAGTGTAGCAAGTCTTTTAAGTTTTCTCTTCCTGAACCCTGAAACTGGGCCACATGAGGTTTGCAAATCTCCACGGGCTGAAAGTGGACAACAGTTTGTAAAAGGAAGTTATCTAATTAAGCGTGGCAATCCAGTAAATTCATGTGCGGCTTAGCTGATAACAGCCATACTAAGGGCATTAAAATCTCAGGCCGGGGTGGGGCGCCCAGGCTCAGTCAGAGGAGCGTGCGACCCTTGGTCTGGAGTCGTGAGTTCGAGCCCCACGTTGCGCGTGGAGATTACTTAAAAAAATAAAATCTCAGGCAGTATCTTAAGGGCTGGAAAATGATTTTGACGTAATGTCTGTCCGTTCGGCGGCGGCTGAGAGAGAATTCAGCAGCTGAAATGTCGCGGGCGTGAAGGCGGATGTTCTTGATCACACGGGCCGAGCGTGGCTTAGACTCTGCGAGGCTCCTCAGCCCGCCTGCCCCCGCTGACCTCGCCTGTGGCGGCCTTCGCTTCCACAGAAACCCTTCGTTTTGACTCGGTCCGTCAATTCTGGCTGGTGATTTGGGTCTCATCCAGGAAGCTCGTCCACGCCCCCGAAGTCGCGGGATTATTCTGCCTCTCCTTTCGTTCACTCTTACGGTCTCTACCTGTGAGGTCGCCTTCAATGGCGGCACGAGATCGGGACCCAGTTTTAATTCCTGCCATACGGTGAGCCCCTTTTCCCGACCTCGTCTCTCCAGCAACCCACCACCTCCCTACAGACCACTCTGCCACTTACCGGGTCCTCGCGCAGATGTGGACGTGGGAGCTCTCGGCGGCGTCTGTCCGTCTGTCCTGCACCAGTGCCACGCTGCCTGTACTCCTAGGGCTGTGTGTTCATGTGTCCGTGTCCGACGGCCTCCTCGTCGCCTTCCTTTTCCCAAAACGACCGGGCTGCTCCCGAACGCTTCTCCTATTTGACGTTTACGATCTGTTTGTCGGGCGTTGCCCGCACGACTCTTTCCGAATTCTCTTTGCAGCGAAGAAAGATTCACCCGCTACTTCGGGTTTATTTGTTACCCATACACGTTCACGGAGATGAATAGCTCTCCACCCGTGTGCTCTTTGTTTTTAACGAGTCTTTAAGCTTCCCCTAGGTAGGAAGCTTGTTATCAGATAGAAAGCCTTCCGCCGCAGGTCACGGGACGCTGTATCCCCCAGCGCGCACCCGGGCCGAGCCCCGTTCCGGGCCGCGGACGAGGCGGCCGTGACCGGCACGCACGAGGCCCGAGCAGCAGAGATGTAGTCTTTCCCGGTTAGGCAGAGCAGAAGTCAAGGCGAAGGTGGACGGCCCTGGCTCCTTCTGGCGCTGCGAGGGAGGAGCCGTTTCGTTCTGCTCCGCTGGGGGGGGGGGGGGGGGGGGGGGGCAGCTTGCTGCCGTCTTCGGCGCTCCTTGGCTCGTAGGCGCCTCCGCCCCGACTCTGCCCCCACGTTCACACGGCATCCTCCCTGTGTCCCCACCTGCGTCCCCACATCCCCTTTTCATAAGGACACCAGACGATATTAGCGCCCACCCCGCGCCGCGGGGAGCTCGTCTTAATGATTACACGTGCTACAACGCCTTCTCCAAACAGGGTCGCATCCTGGGGTGCTGGCAGTAGGACTTTGACTTACGTGTTGCTGGGAGGGGGGACACCCTTCATCCTGTACCGGGCAACGTGCCCTCCTGCGTCTGACAGTAAGAACAAGCAGGTTCCCAGCGTCCCTCCTGCGTTTCTCTGTGCAGAACCGCATCCTGTCACACTCCCCGGCACCAGCCGCCAGGAACAGAATGTGATCGTGAACCGAGGCGGCGTGAGCTCAGCCAGGAGCCACCCCTCCCGTCCCCACTGCTGCTTGGGACAGGGCAGGACATCGGCCTCCCTGAGACCAGAACTAAAGGCCCACATGTTTACGGGATTTTTACAATCACGAATGGGGCTCCGTTTCTTTTGTATTTTCTGGTTGGTTGCTATAAACGTAGAGAACTACGCTGACGTAGCGCAGATTTCTTTTCCATCAGTACAGCACTACTGACTCTCATACGTGGGTCTGGTCTCTGGCAACCTCGTGTCTTGATTTTCGACGGAGCAAAACTGCCAAGCTCTCCTAGAACCCCAGTAATTTGTTAATTCAGTCGGGGTTTCTGTCTTGAAGATAGAAAGACCGGCAACTTTCCCTTCTAGCCCACACGCTTCTTCGTCTCACCCCGTAGCCTCGGCGGGCCCGCCCCACGGCACGACGTGAAATACGAGCAAAGACGGCCGCGGGCACGCTTGGTTTCTGTCTGTCTGAACGGGCACGTGTCTCAGTTTCTCTGCGTCTGTCCACACGATCACGGAACGATACTCCTGGACCCCATCGGTGGTGGTGATCCTTCCCTGTGCGTCTGCGGTAGGACTACTGGGTCACGCTGAGTTAACATCACTGTGACTTTGAATTCTATTTGCTCGGCAGTCTTCCTGTCCGTGCTCACGAGGGCCAGCCCTTCACCTGCCCTGTACTTCCCTGGTTCTGGGATCAGGGGTTGACGCCTACGTTGCCTCCCCCTCTAACTGTCCTTTTCGACGGCTCTATTTTTTAAACTTCTTGTGTACAAAACTGTTGTGGAATATCGACATTGTCGACTCCTTGGTGGCTCATTACAACTTACTTTTAAAACCGGTAGGGGCGTCCGGGTGGCTCTGTCGGTTGAGTGTGCGACTCTTGCTTTTGACTCCGGTCACGATCCCAGGGTCGTGGGATCCAGCCCGTCGGGATCTGACAGCACAGAGCCTGCTTGGGTTTCTCTCTCTCTCTCTCTCTCTCTCTCTCTCTCTCTCTCCCCCTCCCTCTCTGCCCCTCCCCTGCTCTCTTTCTCTCTTCCTCTCTCAAAACAAATAAATAAACATTTTTAAATTAATTCACGAAAACCAGTCCAGGTCTGAGGACTGTGAGGGTTGGGGGTTGGCCATCACCACTTAATTTCTTTAACCGAGTTTCATATTTCCTTGCGTGCCCGCTTTATCTAGGTTTTCAAAAATGTTGGTCTATATTTTGTTTACAGTGTCTTCTGTTTGTTTGCCACGGCTGCGCTGGCTGTAATTCTTCCTCCTTCGAAATGCCGTGTATTTGTTGGCATCGTCTCCTCACCTTCACTTTGCGGGAGGTTGTCCGTTAACTTTTTGCGGAGTCGGCTCTCGGCTCTGTTGGGTTTCTGTACAGTCTGGTTGTTACTCGTCTCGCCCGCATCTTTATTGTGTCTTCACTTCTTGTTCTGTTTGAAATGTGCTGTTGTCCTCTTTCCAGCTCCTTGAGCGAAATGCGTAGCTCTGTTGTGGCGATCCTTCTAGTTTTCTGAGAAACACACTTGAAGATGCAGCTCTGTCTTCCTGGGCAGCGTCAGGCGTGGTTCCACAAACTCCGCGTGCTTTGCTCTTTGTCATTACTTCCAAATATTCGGTAATCTTCCTATTGAATCTGAGATGAGGCAAAATCTGCTAGTTATTCCCCCGTACCCACTCTCCTGTAACACCGGAACTGCCCGCTCTCGGCTGGGCACGTAGCCACCTAGCTCTCCCCCCCCCCGCCCCCCGCAGCCCGCTCTGGCCGTGCCCCTCGGGTCTGAACCGCAGGTCACAAGCAGACTCTGAAAAGAAATGGAATGGAACAATAATACCATCTCAGAAATGAAGACACACTCCAAAGAGATCCTGCGGGAAACCCAGCACAACGTGCCGCGTGGAGAACAGGAACGGTCAAAACGACCACACCTGACCGTAAACGGCGTCCGGACGGACCACAAGGGTGGAGGGCAGGCGGAGGGTCTGCTGGGCACGTGACTGTGATCGCTTCAGAAGGAAACCGAAATAAGGGAACAGAACAAATAGTTAAAGGTTAAAGAAAACTTGTGAGGGCGCCTGGGTGGCTCCGTCGGTTGAGAGTCCGGCTTCAGCTCAGGTCATGATCTCACGGTTCGTGGGTTCGAGCCCCACGTCGGGCTCTGTGCCGACAGCCTGGAGCCTGCTTCGGATTCTGTGTCTCCCTCTCTCTCATTCTCTGTCTCTCTCTCTCAAAAATAAATAAAAGTAAAAAAAAAAATTGTTTTAAAAAAAGAAAACCTAGGGGCGCCTGGGTGGCGCAGTCGGTTAAGCGTCCGACTTCAGCCAGGTCACGATCTCAGGGTCCGGGAGTTCGAGCCCCACGTCGGGCTCTGGGCTGACGGCTCGGAGCCTGGAGCCTGTTTCCGATCCTGTGTCTCCCTCTCTCTCTGCCCCTCCCCCGTTCATGCTCTGTCTCTCTCTGTCCCAAAAAAAAATAAATAAACGTTGAAAAAAAAACATTTAAAAAAAGAAAACTTGTGAGACACAAAAGAGGACTTTCAACCACACGTTGAAGGGAAAAATCGAAGGTGGCCAGCTAACACTGGAACGCACCCTAACGAAGCTACTGGACGTGAAGATGAAATCTGGAGGCGGCCGAGGAAAGGCATCACCTCCTCCTTGAAGGTGAACCAGTCATGTGGTTTCCCTGGGACCTCTCTACAGAAACACTCAAGGCCAGGAGGTGGGGTGATGCCCACATGCCCAGTGGAAAGAAAGCAGGAACGGGAATTCCACGCCCAGCCAATGCTTCGGAATAAGTTACAGATCAAGGAAAACAGTTTGATTGGCCCCTCTCGAAGAAGTCACTAGACACAGACCTCAGCCAATTAAGAGATGATGGGAAGATACACTGGCTGCAGCGGACTGGGGGTGAACGTGGAGACCCCGTAACGGGAGTGGGGTTCACAAAGGTGACGTGGAGGTTGGGGGGACGGCAGCCAGGTGAGGCCGTGGGTCAGACATCACCATGGTGGGAGGAGGGGGCATGTGCACTGGAAGGTCTGAGGAAGTCACCAAGCCGTGCAGAAAAGCCATCGGATGTCACAGGGCTGGGAGGAGGACACAGGAACAGGAACAGCTAAGCAGGGAGAAGGGCAGACGCCAAGTCCCGAGGCGAAAAAACGCAGGGGTGCGATTTCAGGAGCACAGGAGTCACGCTGCAGCGACTGGTCCCCACCCTCACCCCAGGCCCCGGCAGGGAAGCCCCCCCACATCAGGGTCCCGGCAACGCAGCTCTTCTAAGCAGCATTTCAGGCCCTCGCCCCCAATTCGAATGCCCAAGAAGCTATTAATGGTACAACTAGAAATATTAGGGTGCCTGCAACACGACACGCAAAAGTCCCGGGGGAGACTAGGCAATAGAGGGAGGAGAGTAAAACCCCCAAACTTCAGCAGATACTGCGAGAGACACGGAAGATGTGGCTTCTTGGCATCTTCAAAACAAGAATAGCATGCTACGAAAAAAGAGCGGAGGACAATGAGGGGCACTTAAGAGTCAGACATGGCGGCCAACAGAAAAACATCAGTAGCAATGTTGGAAAATGAGCAAATCTCCCAGAAAGCAGAAGACAAGGCAGAGAGATGGAAACAGGGGAGAGAAGATAAGAAAACGAGGGTCATCCTCAGACAACCGAGGAAGGACTGGTAGAGCTCCAGATGTGAGAACGGGGAACACGGAGAGAGAAATACAAAAGAAATGCCATCAAGAACCTCCCCGAACCCGATGAAAGGATACACCCTGTCAGGGGGCACCCAGGAATGAAGGGCCCCTGCAGGCAGCAGTGGGCCCAGAGAGCCCCAGCGTTGTTCTAAGATGAGGCAGCACCGGCCTGCCCGTCTGCAGGGGAGTGGCGGCAGACAAGGCTTGGGCAGGGGACGGCCCGGGGCAGGGGTGGGGGAGGTCTTGCAGGCACAGCTGTCTGGCAGAGGGGGTGTAACTTGGGGCAGCCAGCCACAAGCACGGCCCAGAAAGGGAGTGGGGCTGATCCCACTGGGGCAGGGCCGCCTTGCCCAACCCCCACTCCCCGCTGCAGCAGATGGTGGGTGGGTGCGGCTCAGCCAAATAACCCCGCCCAGAGGCGGCTCCCCTCCGCCAGACCCAGCCCTCCGGGGGTGGGGGGCAGGAGGAGGGGGCTTCTGCCGTGCCCAGACCCGGGAGTCTGCAGCAAGGAATGAAGGCAGGGAGGCAGGGGGCTCCGGGGCCCTTTCCTCAGCCTGGAGGCTGCCACGCACCAGCCACAGGTCATGGGCAGCCCTGCACCTGGAGAGAGCCAGATGCGGGTGGTGGATGGGCTCGCGGCATAGCACAGGGCCTTCGTGGACACACACGTGGCCCTCCAGCCCAGGACGGCGCTGACCAGGCGACCCTGCCCTCCACAGAGACCTGGGCACCTCCCTGGGCCGCTTGCGGGTGCTGTGGCTGGCCCGCTGCGGCCTGACCGACCTGGATGGCATTGGCTGCTTCCCGGCCCTGAAGGTGGGTCTGTGGTGCCCCGGGCTGGGGAGAGGGTGCCGACCAAGCCCTGGCTGAGGCCCCCTGCTGTCCCAGGAGCTCTACGTCTCCTACAACAACATCTCAGACCTGAGCCCGCTGTGCCTGCTGGAGCAGCTGGAGGTCCTGGACCTGGAGGGTAACAGTGTGGAGGTCCTGGAGCAGGTGCGTTACCTGCAGCTGTGCCCGAGGCTGGCCACGCTCACCCTGGAGGGCAACCTGGTGTGCCTGCGGCCAGGGCCCAGCCCCTCCAACGAGGTGCGTCTGGTGGGCGCCCGGGGAAGCACGTGCACGGGATGGGGAGACGCTCTTGGCCCTCCCACGGCCCCAGGGGCCTCTCCGCCCACCCGGAAGCTGGTCATGTCCAGGCAGGGCGGCGGGATCGTCCCCAGGAGCGTCCCCCAGGCACAGTCCACCTGCACCCTGTGACTTGTTCACCGGGAACTCATTCTCTGCTATCGCTGGAGACCTTCTAGGCCGGGACCAGACCCCACGGGGCCACGTGCACACAGGCCCCCAGCCCACGCACAGACCCCCGTGAGGCCCATGCACACACCACATGGAACCACGCGTGTCCGGTTCGGTCTGCACATGGAATCACACACGCACACTCACACACAGCCCCGTGCACGCCCAGTCCAGAGCCCCCCTCATCTCCCGCAGGCCCGTGCACACCCCACACAGCTGCCCACACCCCCGCACTGCCCGTGCCCAGAGCGCACTCTTCTGCCCTGCTAGCCTCCACGGGGTGGTGGTGCCCAGCTAGGCCACAGCTCTGGGCTCAGGGGAGCTCCACAGGCCAGAGGACACCACTGGACCTTGGCTGTGAGCCTAGAGGGTGAGTTCACGTGCGGGGGGGAGCTCAGGGTCCCCGCAGTCCCTGGTGGCCAAGAGCGACCCAGGCCGGCACCCACAGGAAGGTCTGGAGGAATCAGCCACGGGAGGGGCCCCGCTAGACCCAGGCCCGCCACGCCCTCCACCCTGCAGGTGCCCCCCGGCTACAACTATCGGGCAGAGGTGAGGAAGC